CCACAGGCGCCCGCCACAACGCCCGGCTATTTTTTGGTTGCAGCCATTACTGTTTGGTGGGCCTGGGCTGGATTCGAACCTACCACCTTAGGTGTATGTGGCTGGCACCTTAGCCACTTAAGCCACAGGCACCAAGCCTCAATTGCATAAATCTTTTTTTTTTTTTGAGACAGAGCCTCAAGTTGTACCCCTGGGTAGAGTGCCGTGGCATCACAGCTCACAACAATCTCCAACTCCTGGGCTCAAGTGAGTCTCCTGCCTCAGTCTCCCAAGTAGCTGGGACCACAGGTGCCTGCCACCACGCCCAGCTGTTTTTTGGTTGCAGCTGTCACTGTTGTTTTGGCGGCCCGGGCTGGATTCGAACCTGCCACCTTAGGTGTATGTGGCTGGCGCCTTAGCCATTTGAGCCATGGGCGCTGAGACGATTGCATAAATCTTTATGAACAAACCTAATTCACAAAAGAAGAGGTTATATTGAACTTTGTTCTTAAGAATCATGGGGGGAGGGAGGCGTTTTGCTTCTTGGTCTCTTTCTTTTTAGATACAGTCCTGATGATGTTCTGGACCTGTGGAAGCTCTCACAGTGCTTGGGAGCTTCCTTGGTCTTAGACCTATGGGGCTTCAGCCTGGTCAGCTAAGAGCTTCTTGCGGGTCTTGTCTGCCTTCAGCTTGTGGATGTGTTCCATGAGAATCCACGTTTTTTTTTTAGAGACAGAGTCTCACTTTGTCGCTCTTGGTAGAGTGCTGTGGCATCACAGCTCACAGCAACCTCCAACTCTTGGGCTCAAGCAATCCTCTTGCCCAGGCTGGTCTCAAACTCATGAGCTCAAGCAATCCACCTGCCTTGGCCTCCCAGAGTGCTAGGATTATAGGTGTGAACCACTGTGCCCGGCCTTAGGGCAGAATTTTCCTCATCCAGGTTATCTTCTGAGGCATTCACCCACTGGCTGTGCCCTTTCCCTTACCTATGCTCATATTCTTACCCTTCTGGCATTGAGCTGTGTAACGGACAGTCATGGACTTATAAGATGATCAGCCCATCTTTGACCAACTTCCACATCTGCTGATGGGATTTGGCATTGGCATCCAACCAGCCTTTCTTTTTCCCAGAGGGGAGCATACTAGAGGCAAGCCTTTTCTGAGGCCTGAGCATACTCATGGAAGAACTCAATTCTCCCTTTATTTTTAATTTTGTCTTTTATTTTTTACAAAAAAGGTATCATACTATCCAGGTGCTCTAGGCCATATTTGTTTTTCATTTGAAGACCTTTCTATATTGGTGAATAGGGAATGTTACAATTTTTTTTATTGTTGTATAATATGTTATACGGATATACTATAATTTAACCGGTCTTTCATTGATGGACTCTTAGGTTATTTGCATTCTTTTACTATCATAAACAGGGTTGCAAAACATTAATACCTTTATTTTAAACAGACCTTAAATTTAATTATTTTGCTTATTAGCTAAGTCAATAATATCATTCCTACTTTATATAGTGAACTGATACAAGGAAACCAAGTTGTTATGCTAAAAGCATAAAATATGCCTATGTCAAAGAATAGGAAAAAAATGGGAATCCAGGCAATGCTTTTCTTTTCATTAGGACACACATACCAGGATATGAGCAAAGACACGCTGCTCAGTCTGCCCTAATAAACAGGGTAATGAAACAGATGACAAACTCTGCTAATAATAGAGATTTATAGAACAATCCTAATTAACAAGGACTTTGGGGGAATGAAGAGCTCTGAGTTAATTTAATTTTCTAGTTAGCTAAAGAAAAAGCAGAAAGTCTTTTTAGTTGGAAATCCTTGTAAATGTATTAATATAATAACATACCATGACATTCCTGCTTTAATTAGTTTAGTTTATTGAACTGAATGAACTTTTTCTTTGATAACGGAGGATCATGTAGCACATCTTAATGTCATTATTCCGAACATCTATTCTTATTGTAGTTCTAAAGGTGTAAGTGCTTTCATGAAAAGCAGGATAAATGAAATGGTGGGACGTATACTGGATTAGGAGTAAAAAATCCCATGTTTTATTTTCTCAGCTGTTTTGTTTAACAAGTATTTGTTAAGAGCCTATCACGTGTCAGGTACGCTGTCAGGAACGGGGAATACAGGCGTGAAGTGAACAGAGAAAAACTCTGCTGTTATGGGGCCTGCACTCTAGTGGGGATGGACAGTACCAAACAACAAATAAAGGAAGGAGGTAGTTGGAGATATTAATAGATGCCATAGAGAAAAATAAAATAGGATAACGTGATGAAGTGGGACAGAGAAGGAGAGTTACTTCCTCACTGTGGAGGTGACATCTGAGTTGAGACGTCAAGGGCAAGAAGAAGAAAACCATGTGAAGGTCGAGAGAGAAGTCCTGAGCTAGCAACAAGGCTGGTGCACTGAGCCTGTTTAGGGTAAAGACGGCTACTGTAACCACGGAATTTCATTCTCTGTTAAGCGGAGAATCGGGAGGTTTCAAACAGGGCAATGATACAATCCTGTGTCACAATACAAGGGATTTTAATCAAACTTAGTTATTAGTACCAGGCTTACAGGAATTTAAATGCTGTTAAAATCATTTGATTTAAAAACATTATTCTGGCAGCCTCATAGAGAGTGAACTAGAATGGTGAGATGGAGCAGGGTCAATGCTGCTACTCACCAAGAAAATTTAGGCAACTCACAATGTAACTTAAATTCAGTTTTTATTACCTAAACAACAAAGATAATACTTGCTGCATCTATTTTCTGTGACTATTATATGGGCTAAGTAATAACAATATTGTGAAAACACCTTGCTAAGTCTAAAGTGTTATGTAATTTTATAAGATATTCTTAAGAACTTCTTTTTTTCTGTTATTAACTATTTGTTGAACAATAGCCATGAGCTCTTCATACCCTCTTTGATCCTTTTCCTTCAGGAAAAATATTAAGATAGAATCTTTTGACTGTCTTATAGGAGCTCACTCCTATAATCCTAGCACTCTGGGAGGCTAAAGTGGGAGGCTCATTTGGGTTCAGGAGGTCAAGACCAACCTGAACAAAGCAGGACCCAATCTCTGCTAAAAAATAGAAAAATTAGCCAGGCATGCTAGTATGCACTTGAAGTCCCGCTACTTGGGAGGCTGAGGCAGGAGTATCACTTAAGCCCAGGACTTTGA